TCTGTGAGCGATGCGCGCAGCCAGACGCGAGGCAGGCGATTGTTGGCCTAGGCGGGGTGGGGTGAGCAGCATGAGCGCTTCCTGCACACGACCAAACATAGCACACTGACGGCCAAGCAGCAAGTCGCAGCTTGCGATCGAGCACGCCTACCGCACGCGCGAGCAATCCCCAGAGACGTGGGTACTGTGGGCGCACGCCAGCAACGCCGCCCGGCTCGAGCAGAGCTTCCGCGATATTGCCGACCGCGTCAAGATAGCCGGGCGACAGGATCCGGAAGTCAACATCTTTAAGCTGGTGCACGACTGGCTGTGCGATAGCAAGCAGCCATGGCTGCTCGTGCTAGACAACGTGGACGATGCCAGCTTTCTACTCGAGGCCCAACCTGCCAGCTCCAAAACCGCAGCTAGACCGCTGCGCGAGTACCTCCCCTACTGTAAGCACGGCTCGATCCTTGTTACAACGCGAAACAAAGAAGCGGCGCTGCAGCTGGTGGAGCAGCGCAACATCATCACACTTGATCCAATGGACGAGGCGCAGTCGCTGACGCTGCTTGCAAAGAAGCTGGGAGCGCAAGCCGACAAGAGCGATGGTGCTGAGCTGGCGGAGCTGACGGAGCTTGCTGCAGCGCTTGAGTACATGCCGCTCGCCATCACCCAGGCTGCTGCGTACATCTCGCAGAGAGCGCCACTGTGCTCGGTGGCACAGTACCTTGACCAGTTCAAGAAGAGCGAGCGCAGGCGGACGAGCCTTCTCAACCGTGACGGAGGCCAGCTTCGGCGAGACCGTGAGGCGAAGAACTCGATCATCACGACGTGGCAAATCTCCTTCGAGCACATACAGCAGACGCGGCCATCAGCTGCAGACCTGCTATCGCTGATGAGCTTCTTCGACCGCCAGGGGATTCCCAGGAATGTGCTGCAGACGCAAGCTACACATGAAGATGGCGAAGCCAATCAAAAGGTTGATAAGGCCAAGGCTGAGGCTGATCGTAATGAGGAAGACGATAGAATGCAGTCTAACTGCCAGGTCGGGGACATTAAGGAATATTTTAACGACCACCCCAAGAACGGACCTGAAAATATCCCCTCGCACGACTCATCGGATGACTTTGCAGACGACGATTCTAAGGACGACGATTCTGAGGACGACGATTCTGAGGACGACGATTCTGAGGACGACGATTCTGAGGACGACGACTCGAGAGACGATACTTTCTATGAAGACATTTCAGCGCTGCGCAGCTTCTGCTTCATCTCCGTGAACAACGACGGCATGACCTTTGAGATGCACGCCCTTGTGCAGCTATCAATGCGTACCTGGCTTGCGGCGAACAGAAAGCTAGAGCAGTGGAAACAGCACTTTATCAATAGCCTTTCCGCAGCGTTCCCAACAGGAAATTATGAGAACTGGGCAGCCTGTCAAGCGCTGTTCGCACACGCTAAGGCGGCAGCTGGCCAGAAGCCAGAAGCGACATCCTCGCTAATAGAATGGGCTACGCTACTATATCGTGCAGCATGGTATGCAAAGAGCAAAGGAAGCGCAGCAGAAGCAGAAATCCTAGCAATACAGTCAATGAAGGTACGAAAGACGGTCTTAGGGCGAGAGCATGAGGACACGGTATGGAGCATTGCAATGGTGGCAGATGCTTACTCACTTAGTGGACGATGGGATGCAGCAGAGGAGCTGGAGGTGCAAGTGATGGAGGCTCGCAAGAAGAAACTGGGAGCGGACCATCCTTCCACGCTGACCAGCATAGCCAATCTGGCGTCGACCTACCGGGGTCAAGGGCGATGGGATGCAGCAGAGGAGCTGGAGGTGCAAGTGATGGAGGCTTTCAAGAAGAAACTGGGAGCGGACCATCC